CTCCTATATGTTGGGTGAAGCAGTGGTTAGGGTGCAGGCCACTTCAGATGACTATTATCTGCAGTTCAGCGGTTCAAATCTCACCGGCTCAAGGTTGACTTCAGCCTTCCATCCTTCCGAGGTGGGTGAAATGAGGACCCAGACTGTGGGGGCGATATGCTGACTCTGTAAACCGCTTAGAGAGGGCTGAAAGCCCTATGAAGCGGTATATAAGTCTAATTAATAAATAATAAATAAATAAACTTGTTACAGGCAGTCTTTACTTAGTGACCATAACTGGGACTGACAATTCAGTTATTAAGTGAAATAATTTTCACTTAAATCTTCCTGTATGCAAAAACAAATCAAGGATAACGCAGGTGATAAAACAGTATTAAAGATCCTGTTATAATATTAAATTATGCTCATGGAGAAGAATTCCTATATAACAATCTGCTGGAGCTAAACCCTAATTAAAATGTTTGTTTGTTTTTCTTTTTCAGATATCCCTATGTAGAAAGCTGATTAATCTTGCTTTAGATGGGCTCTCTTATTACCATACATATGATAGATTTTTCCTTGGCATGAGTATCACCATGGGTTTTGTAGGCTGGACATTTTATGTGATTCTGATTATAATAAAGTCAGATACAAGCATGACCAGGGATATGTCAAAAAACAAGGTAACGTTTTTTTGGTTTGCCATGTATGAACAGCTTACTCCATAAGTTAATCTATTTCTCACTGAAATTTTTGGCCTGTGCCTTCATTATAGAAAAACCTATAAAATGTTTTTAAAAATGGAAATTTTGGAAATGTAAATCTGTCGTGAAAGAAGTTCCTTTTTAAGTTCCTTTAAAATATATTGAGAATTGGATTACATTTTGTAACCTGTTGAACATTTAGATCAGAAATGGAAATCCTCCAGAGATTGCTGAATTACAGCTTACAACAATCTTGTTATACTGTCCATAGTTCAACATTTGGATGCCCCCCCCTCGTTGCTTCACATACAAAACTGTATTTGTAATTCATTAATTCAGATGAAGATCATATAAAGCTGATAAAAGTGTATGTTTTGTATATGAGTGTCTACATGTGGGCGTGTATTTGATTGCTCCATTTCCTTGACGAATTTATGGATAGATTTCTGCTTGTGTTTTTACTCTTATTTCTGCATGGTGGAAGCAAACAGATGTTGCTACGGAAAAGAGCACGCTTTTAGTTCTCTGACCTTGCAGGGAAAATAATCTTAGTGAATCTTCTGATTTGCATCAAAGAGCAGGTAGATAAATGGTAACTGGGGTCTGCTGCCCCAAGTGATTTGTCCTAGCGTGAACCACACTGAGATGATTTTTATATCTGTTGTGTGTTGCAAAACCTGGTGAATATTTGGAGGTGTTTAAATAGATATTTACAGTTTTACAATCATCAAATAACATTAACATTTCTATTTTCAGGTGCCTGACAGGTTTTTCCAATATGTGTTTGCAGCTATTGGAGTTTTGATAGCCTTTTTTCTCTTCATTCAAAGCTTGCCTTGGACCTACTACATATATTGCCTACTACCAGTCCCTGTGTGGTATGCAGTTTTAAAAGAGTAAGGTTTTAAAAAATAAATGAATAAGTCAGTCTGTCAGTCAATCAGTTTGCCTCTGTCTCTCTCTTTCTGTCTCTGTCTGTCTGTCTGTCTCTCTCTCTCCCTCTCTCTCTCTNGGCAATATGCTGACTCTCTGTAAACCGCTTAGAGAGGGCTGAAAGCCCTATGAAGCGGTATATAAGTCTACTGCTATTGCTATTGCTATTAATCAGATGAAATTTCTTATAAGAGCTTATCATAATGATATATTTTTATTGCAGATTTGAGTTCTGGACTATCAATATTTTTTTTTCTAATGGAATACAATTACGTAATAGAAATATTTTTTGTCAGTTATGCTCCTCAGATGGAATAAATTGCATCTCATAAGGGACAATTTACAAAGCATTGTACAACGAACACTGTTGTTTTATCTTGTAAATAATTGTCCTCACATTGTAACTTATATTTTGGAATCTAAGCAGCTTCTCTTCATCAGAGTTGTTAATCCTGTTTTAAAGTCTATGACCACTGCATATAAATTCAGTGACCTGAAAGATCTAGTTAGCATTAATCAAAATGATCCAGATTAATCACATTCTTAATTTTAATATGCAATTATTAATAAGACATTCAGCTGTATAAAATAATATGCTGTATAATGTTCTGTTTTATATACTTTTCTTTTGTAAAACTTGATTCTTTTGAACAGACCCCTTAGGCTTCTTAATTTCTCCAGAAACTTTTGTTTGGACTGCATCCAATCTCTTTGCTAAAAGTACTTCAAAGATATTTTAATTTTTGTTTAAAAGTACTTATTAATAAATAGGTATTTAATGGATTTATCAGTCAGAATACGGTGAACTGGTTCAATTTATTGCTTTTAAAAGAATCTTTAAAGTTGTGCTTTTTATTCCATCTTTCCCAAAACAGTAATAAAAGTGATATATTCAAGTATTCTGTCTTGCACAGATCTCTCTCTGAATCAGAACAAATTGACATTCTGAGAAAAACAAGGATATCTATTCAACATGAGAAATATGAGGAAGCTGTAAGTAACTCCATGAGCCTATTTCCTTTGGTTTTATCTGTGTTAATTTTAAAATATATTTGTTACATTTATAACTTAATGTTATCAATGTTAACTGTTTTTCTTTTTGGCCCATTATCTAATGTTGTAAGGATACTTTTCTAATATGTGAGCATAATTTAATCTCAAATAGTCTTATAAAAGCATCTGTCTTCCATTCAGAAAAGCTTTGCCCCTATTGTAATTCTGCGTTAAGAGCAATAGAATTTAGAATAGAATAGAGCTGTAAGGCACCCTGGAGATCTTCTAGTCTAGCCCCCTGCTCAAGTGGGAGAACCTATACCATTTCAGATGACTATCCAGTCTCTCCTTAAAAACCTATACTCTGAATCTGTCAGAGTCTTCTTTAACATTTATAAGAATTCCCCTTGACAACTTGTATCGGGAGAGCCGAGGTGGCGCAGTGGTTAGGGTGCAGCACTGCAGGCCACTTCAGCTGACTGCTATCTGCA